ATAATTTAAGAATGCATAAGAATTCTGATTTTCATTTGCCAAATTATACAATTTTGAAATGCTACATAATGCATAAATAGCTTCAGCAAACAAATCCATTTAGCCATTCCCACTGTATAATTATGTTGACATTTCATTAATTTTGAGATTGCAATAGGTTTCTAATCACATCTTTTTATATCTGGAGAGGACTATTTGTTGATATTATATTTTAAATTGTATTTCTAATGGAAAACAGGCACAAATCCTTATTGCATAAATGGCAAATAGGAATATCTAGTAAAGACGGAGGATCTAGTTTAGAATATTCACCTTGTTTTCTTGTAATAAGCATTAATGAGAGAGACACAACTGAGAATCCCAGTGGCATCCAAGAACACATTTTCATCTGGCTACATCATTATGGAAATTTTGACCATCAGCTCTTAATTACAAGTTCCATATTTACATGATGGAAATTCATGATTTTTGCTAGACTGTTCATAGTTCTCCATTGCCCACATTGCTCTATAGAGGCTGTTGCAGTGTGTCTAAATAAACAGGAAAATAGACAGAATATTGTTAAAGTCCAAAGCTAACTTGGCACTTAGACTGCATATTTAACATGCAAGAAGACTTTTTCAGGGCAAAAGCAATTGTAGCTCAAGGCAGAAGTAGCAGCTGCCACTGTGTTCAGCTAAATTAAAACCTTTTTACAGCAGAGAAAAATCCCTGCTAGTCCTAAGAGCTGAAATATTGAAAATGCTCTTACTATGGTTGATGAATTAATAGCAGTTGTGACCTGCCTGCGGCTGCTCTGCCACAAGAATCACAGGACTGGATATCTCTTGCTACTTGCACTTTTCAACTCCTATAAGCTGGAGAAGGAAGCAATCAAATGTTTCTAAAGGTACATCATTTTATCAGAGCATTTTGCCTCCAATCTCACATTATTGCTATTATAGGTGCCTCGGTTAACACATCTGCATTTAGCAAAGAACCCAAATGCCCTTGTTGAGTCTTTTAGAACCTTTGAAGTCAAATCAGGGAAGAATGAAGACCGTTTCAAAGCACTTGCTGAAAATGAGCTTCTTGTATTTGTAACAATTAGGAAAAAATTACATATCCACTAGCTTGAAGTGAGGGCAGACAACCACACATCTCTAAGCTAACAGATAAGTTATCCAGTCGAAGGGCTTCTTCAAATGCTTTTTTCTCTCTCCCCATATTGTTAAGGACATCGCTAGGAATGAGTGTAAGGGGAAAGTGGTTGAAAACATGAGGTTTTTTAAAAATGTCCAGTCTAGCAAATGGAACCCCTGAAGCTGATATGCAAGTTCTACACCCCACTTTTACATTCAGATACGGCTGAGATTTGCTTCTTTGGTAATCCCCCCTCTGCCCAGTTTCTCTAATTACAAATTAAAATGTTTAACAGAACAATTCCATGCATGTGTTAATAGGATTGCATCTGTCAAATAATCTAGCCAAACGTTCGGATTTAGGAGCATAAACATCAGGCATGCTACACAAAGAACTCCAAAGTGGTATCAGCTTGGCAAAAGAAAGACAGATGGTGTAAATGCTAAGTAATGCTCATTTTGACCAAAATCTTACAGCTCTAAATTGGCCATGATTAATACCCAAGCAGAGTGTAGGAGTGTCAGATAAAGATAATAGTTTGACCTCTTCATCTATCTATCTATCTATCTATCTATCTATCTATCTATCTATCTATCATCTATCATCTATAGAATATTTTAGGTTGTTTCTCCTTGTTCTTAATGTTCATTTTTGTAACTCACTTTAAGTTTCACTATTTCTATACTAATAAATAGATAGCAGCAGAAATCTTACAGAAAACATTAAATCCATGTGCTGCAACTGTGAGGAAATGTATATTCCGTGTTGAATTACTATCTATAGGATGGAAAACTAAATGTCAAGTATAATTAAAATAAATCTATTTTAACATTAAAGGTTAAACTACATGGCTGCCACTGACCGCATGATTTCTACTATTGTTTACCTAACGCAGATGTGTAATGTGATATGATGTCATCACACTGAACATGATGTCAGGGCAGAAGGTGGCGGTAGAATGAAAAATGCCCCACCACAGGTTAGTGCAGTGAAGAGGACCAGACCAGGTTCATTGTCATTGCAAGATGGTAGAAGGGCTGGCTTGGGATCCAGTGAGCTCCTCTACGCCCCTAAGTCTGGGCAGCTTCCAGTCGCCCACCATTTGGGTAGGTGCTATGGGGTGCTTCTCATGGGCAGGGCTTGCCTGGTAGTGGCAGAGCTCCCTCCCTGGCTGTGGCTGGAAGAGCCAGGCAGGACTGGGCAGAGGGACACTGTCATTCTATCCAAGAGAGCAAACGGGACAAGATTCTGTGAATCTTCTTTTTGCTCATATATGGACGATTTTATGCTATGTACAGATGTTATTGAAATAAAACACCTTTGCTAATGGCAGACAGAGCAAATATTGCTCCTCTTTTCCCTGTCCATCGTTTATTAAATTCTGAGACAAAACATTCCCAGTAAAGAATCTGATTGTTCTGTAACATCCTAATCAATATCCGTTGGTGCTATCATTTAGACATAGCCATTTGGAAATGAAAGAGCTTCTTTTATTCAAGCTGCAATGTCCTATTTGCAGCAATAACAGAAATGTAGGAGACATTCTGTTTTGACTGATTTTAATGGCAGGATATTGTAGTCTGAACTGAAGCTAAACTTCTGTTCAGATTTCTTTAGAAATATCTAGACAGCTAAGTTAAAGTGCTAAAAAAACTAGTTATGGTAGGAAAAGCTAATAGGTTCCATAGTACTTCATTTTTGAAAACATCACATCTTTCTATATGCTAGGCAACTTGTGAAAAATCAGGGTGGGGGGTGGGGACTCACAAATACTGCAGCAAACAGTTTAAAGCCATAAATGATTATAACTTTTCTAGGCACCAGCCTGAGCTTTGCAAATCACAGATCTCAGCACAGCTTCCCAAGCTTTGATTGTGTTGTTTGTGACCAACGTAGAGCTACCATGCAGGGATGCCATTTAGGGATGGGGGAACAGCGGCTGCCTCGTATCTCAGATCACATAGGATTATTGCTCAGGAGGAGATGGAGGAGGAATTCACTTCACATTTAAAGGCAAACATACCTGATTCATACTTTCTGAAACAATATGCAAAGTGAACCACAGCTATCCTTTGTAGTTCTCTGAATTTAGCAAAGCATTTCTCTGGCTTTGCTATACAAATATATAAAAAAATGTGTACACTGGAGTAAAGTGTGCGTAGTAGTGTGTGTATGAGAGAGAAAAATATGCAAAATGCATGATTTTGCAGACGTGTATATTTGAGGAAATCTGCATGTAAAATGTTTATAGTAGGAGAAATTTGCATAAAAATGCTGACACATTTCCACGAGAACTTTAGGAAAAATACAAACTGATGTGGAAACATGGAGAATGGAGCTTAAGACGGGAAAAATGAGAAACAGAGAAACAGGTGTATTTCCTCACCCCTAATCTCCAGACAACGTGCTATGGGATTAAAACTGGCCACAACTTTATTAAGTTTCAGATGTAGGGAGACCTTGCCTCAGGCATTCGGCATTTATCCTTCCCAGTTCCTAGCCAGGGATCTGGGAGACTTCAGGGTTATCCAGAGTGCGTGGGGGTTGGGCTGGCTCTGGAGAACATATGTTCAAGCAGAGAGCCCGCCCCCCCTCCGTTTCGCCGCCATTGGAGGGGAGAGCAATGACAACATCTCGGCCCCTTTAAAGGAGAACCCTGGTATCACTGCCACAAGGGGGACGTAGATCACTGCTTCACCCCCCCCCCCATTTAGGAAGATAGACTAAAGGATTCCGCCCAAGGCCTGAAACTGCCAAAGTTGTGACGTTTTGCAAAACCTGCCAATGCAGGAAAATTCCATTTCAGCCCTTCAACAGCGACCCTGACGTAGCAGCGCCTGCTTACCTGTGGAGAAGAGGTTAACCTGCAAAAGAAGACTTAACTGAGGGAGGGGAGGGTGGGAGAAGCTCTGGAGCCAACTGCTGCTTCGCAGGTAAGATTCACCTTCTGCTGTGTGGGCAGGACGGTCCCTGCCCTTACCTGGCCAATCCCCTGGCAATGCCTCCTCAGGAGGGATTGGGCAATTGGCTGAGGTAGGCGGAGACCTCCAGGTATCCAGCCTGGGGAGGATGAAGCCAGTCCAAACTACCAGGAGTCACACTGGGATCCAGGGGGGGGGGCTGCGCACGACCACGCAAAAGGCACCATTTGATGTGGGGAGTGGTCATTGCAAGTCTATGTATGATTTCTCAGTACTATGTTCAAGTGAATTCAATGAGACTTAATCGCAGGTAAGTACATAAAGGAATGTAGCCTTGATCTTGAATCTATCCAAAGGCATGTCTTTGGAAATTCCCCACCTCCTGTTTCCTGGTCCCATTTGGAAATCTCCTAGGTCAGGGATTAGCAACCTGTGACCCTCCATAAATTGTTGTACACTAAATCCCACCATCCCTGACCATTGGTCAGAATGACTGGGGCTCATGGGAGTTTGAATCCAACTGATGAAACTCTGGATAAATGTTACTGTTTCTGAGACTAGGCCCACAGAGGTATAAAACATCAAGATGATGAGTGCCTCCCATTTTAGGAACACTGACACCTGTTTTTTGTATTGTGGAGGGAGATGCAGGTAATCTTGGTTGCCTAGCTGAGAAACACCTGCAGAAACACCCTAAAGACCATCTTATTGGGATGGCAACAACCACTAAGCAGTTGTTGTGATTCTTTCTAGGACAGGTCCAATAGAGCTAAAAACATCAACTGACAGAATGCAGTGGGCCACCAATGGCACACCAAGCCCAGAGGGAGGGCCCTCTCTTTCTGAGGTCCAGTTTGATGGGCTGGGCTTTTTGTGCCTTTTATCTTTCTCAGAATAGAACTGTAGAGTGGGAAGCGACCACAAACGCCACCAATTCCCTGAAATGCAGGAATCTTTTGCCGAATGTGGGGCTTGAACCCACAACCCTGAGATCAAGTGTCTCCTGTTCTACCAAGTGATATATTCTGGTTGCCATCTTGGCTTTCCCTTAGCTTTTCCCACTATACAACAACTCACAAAATGTTTATTTATTATTATTATTTTCAATATTTTGATGGCAATGGGTATCATTTACTACCAAGCGGTTCATAAATTTCATAAGCTGCATTTCCTACATCGTAACGTTTTGCCATTGATAAATGAGTCAATTTGAACAAATTCCCAAGCACGTTTATATAGGATAAGAAAAAGAAAAGTAGCCCAACCATCCTACATTGCAAAGTACAGCTAATTTAGACAATTTTATTCTGCTAATAATGGCTTGAAGGGCATCCTAATGAGTTAGAGTTTCAGAGATCTCTTGATAAAAATGTAACTGCTTCAGCTTCCCACCATGCAGCAGCTAGCCAATGTTCTCCCAAAATTAAATGACATTAATTTAGGAATCAAAGTAGTGAGAGTTTGAATGATTCCACAATCTGACAGATTAGGAACTGACATTATTTTTTATCACTATTCTGACACCTATATTATTTTAATGAGACTCAATCCTTCAGCATTTTGTCTCCAATACTGAATGACACAGTGAGCTCAGCCTTCAAGTCAGAAAAAAGATCACCATTCTCAAATTGTAGGTCAATCTGTTTTATAAATCACAATGTTAAAATTCCGGTGAAAGAGCTATATACATATCATAATGAAAATAAATATACATGTTCATTAAGCTGTTCCATAAAGAACTGGTATAACTCTTGTAATTTCAAGCAGTTTCTTTTAACCAGCAGCATGTCGGACAGTGCTTTAGATCTCTCTCTGCTATATACCATATTTTCCCGTGTATAGGACGATGCTTTTTGCTTTAAAAAAATAGGGGAAAATTGGGTGTCATCATACACACAGATCGTGAATGCAGAGGGGAGACGTGCGATTAACGGCAGCAGTAAGCAGGAGATTGGGTGGGTGATTGGTGGCTACAGCAAGGCCTGCTGGCAATTGGCTGTGGCTGCAGCAATTGGGCAGGTGATTGGCAGCTGTGGCGAGGCAGGCAAGTGATTGGTGGCTGCGGCAAGTGAGCGGGTGGGCTGTTGGTGGCAGCGAGTGGGCAGATAATTGGCTGCGGTGAGGTGTGCGATCGGCAATGGCAGGCAGGCAGGTGAGTGAGTGATTGGTGGAAGTGACCTCCTCCCCAAAGCTAAACAACTTAATTTCTTAATTTTGGGTTAAGAAAATAGCGGCCGTCTTATACATGTGAAAATATGGTAATAAGGTATTATGACTGCCATCACATGGAAGTAACAGGTGTCAAATGACATCTCACAAGAGCTCTGTGAGATCTTGCTAGAGTTCTGTGAGATTTTGTGAAATCTCTCTGGAAGTTGCCGCTGCACAACTCCAGTAAGTGAGGCTTTGGCAGCAAAGAGGGCACCTTTCCATTTTGCCTCAGGTGGCAAAACAGGGTGGGCCATCCTTGTTGCCCTGACCACTACTGGATAGGTCTATGTGGTATTATAAGGAAGGAATGAGAAAATAACTGAGTTTCCAACATGCCTTCTGCTTATTCAGAAATTTCATACCTTTCTGTGGGAACTGATGTCATTAGGAGAAACCAGAGTTCATTTCAGGATTGTATGTCATTGCTGTGTGTGTTTATGACTGGGGGGGGCAGTGTACACACTTCTATGTACTCTGCATCCAATGTGCACCCACTACTGGTTCAGGAAGTGGTGTACACACCATATCAACCACAATCCTTTTTTTCTCTTGCATTTCTCCTGTTGTTTCTTATAAAAATACTGTGCTCTGATGCATTCTGCCCCAAACCAGATTCAACCTGAATTGAGAAAAAGAGCAGCCTAGTTGTGTTTTAAGTGGGTAATGTGTTCATACCCACTACAGAATGTAGTGAGGAGGAATGAGGAGTCATCAGAGCTGAATTTAGAATAAAGCAATTAAAACACACCTTTCTGGAAAGTTTCATGGGCTTTCTTTTGAGACAAATATTTTATCTGCAAATGCTTGCTGAGCTTTCTCCCCACCCTTCCAACAATAAATAAATTATTCATTGCATTGCATTATTGGAAAATTCAATGGTTCATTGAGATATTGTGAACTGTGGAAATCCAATTTCATTATAAAAGTGTGAAAGAAGGTTCTCATTGCAAAATGTATTAATGCTTTTAAACATTGTCATTGCGATGCGGGCCTCTGTGCAAGATTCCACACAATTAGTCTGCTATTGGTATTACAGTTTCCAACAAAGCAAACTTCAACAAAATGCAACGTTTCCTCTTGCGCAGTTTGCTGGTTGATTTCAAAGTCTCCATATAAGAAGTATCTCATGCTTATTCAGTGCTTTCTCATATAGCAACTAGCTAAGAACTTTGACTTAATGAAGCATACTAAGCATGAGCTGAAGGAGACATCCATTTTATATGAATTCATTCCCAGAATTTGGCAGTTCTGATGCGGGTGGCGCTGTGGTGTAAACCACTGAGCCCTGAGCTTGCCGATCGGAAGGTCGGCGGTTCAAATCCCTGCGACGGGGTGAGCTTCCGTTGCTCAGTCCCAGCTCCTGCCAACCTAGCAGTTCGAAAGCACATCAAAGTGCAAGTAGGTACCGCTCCAGCGGGAAGGTAAACAGCGTTTCCGTGCACTGCTCTGGTTTCACCAGAAGCGGCTTAGTCATGCTGGCCACATGACCTGGAAAAACTGCGGACAAACATCAGCTCCCTAGGCCAGTAAAGCGAGATGAGTGCTGCAACCCCAGAGTCGTTCGTGACTGGACTTAACTGTCAGGGGTCCTTTACCTTTACCTTTAACCACTTCTTGTATCAGATGCCCACTTATGACCAGGTCACTTGTGCATTGGGTTGTTGTTGTTTTTAATAAAAAAGCCCAACTAATTATACACAAAATTATGTGCCAAAAATACAAAACATAATATATATAATAGAGTCAAACACCATGTGGTACTATATTTCTGCAGCACAATTTTGTAAATCTTAATGCAGAAGTATTTTAAACAGTTATATGCATTGTTCTATGTATCTGTCGTAGGTGCTGGCTACTTTAGGAAATGTGAGGGGTACCTGTGTATAATATTTTGGGCGTAATATGTGGGAGTTGTTCATATCTTTAGCAAAACTGGTAATAAAAAAGATCTCGCTTCTGGTAACTGCCATGCATTATACGTAGGGCTGCCTCTGAAGACAGTTAGGAAACTTCAGCTAGTGCAGAATTCAGCAGCCAAGTTGCTCACCGGGGCAAGCCGCTTTGAGCATATTACACGATCCTGGTCCGACTGCACTGGTGACCAATTAGTTTCTGGGCCCAATTCAAAGTGCTGCTTTTGACCTATATAGTTTTAAATGGCTCAGGACCACAATACCCCTTCTTTCCATATGACCCTACCTGGACCCTGTGATCATCCTTTGAGGCCCTTCTTTGTGTATCTCCTGAGAGGTCCAGAGGGTGGCAACTTGAGAACGGGCCTTTTCTCCAGTGGTTCTCTGCTTGTGGAATGCTCTCCCTAGGGAGGTTCACCTGGTACCATCATTTTACACCTTTAGGAGTCAGGCAAAAATGTTCCTATTTAACCAGGCCTTTGATTGATTGACATCCAATGCCCTTTAAAATGTGTTGGGGAGGGGGCTTTATTGGGTTGTTGTTGTTGTTATGTATTGTGTGTTTTTACATTGTGATTTTATGTTGTAACTTTCCTGAGACCTGTGGGTATAGGGTGGTATCTAATAATAATAATAATAATAATAATAATAATAATAATAATAATTGCAATGTGCCAATTTTTACCAACCATCATCTGTTCCTGGAACCAACATTCTCTCTCTCTCTCTCTCTCTCTCTCTCACACACATACACAGAGCAATACCTCCATATCATTATTATACCTGAACATCAAATTAACTTGCAAGAACTTACAACTTAACTAACATTGTGCTTTCCATTACTTACATCCAAAGCAATTTAAATGCATAGTATGCCCTATGAGTAATATGAAAGAACTAATCCCTCAGATAGAAGGCTGTTACTGTGTCCTTTGGGAAAGTCTTCATTTCTACTTAGTATTGCAAAAACACATACATCCCTCTGACAAATACATTGCATAGAGGCTAGTTGTTAGAATTTTCACACATTGGAAAAGAAAAGAAGAGATTATGTTTCTTCTGCACTGGTGGAGTTTCATCATTGGTGACAAAACAAAATCTAATAACTTGTGAGGAACTTCTGGGAAACTGATACATGTCAGACTAGTTCTTTGGCTCCCTTTCAACGTTGCCTTAGTTGCAATGCAGACATTACAGTCTCTTCTTCCTGCATTGCTCTGGAAACATCAGACACTGTAAGTGATAGAAGCTGAAAACCTGGCTCTTTGCTAATATAGTTTGCTCTGCTCAAGAGCTGAGGAATGCAGGTATGGGACAGTGCCATGCCATGTGCCATACAACTTGGATTTCAGCATGATGGAATGATTCAGTCATTCCTGTGCCACTAAGTCTACAGTCCTGTATACTCATCCCTGGAAGCAAGCTCCATTTAACTCAGTGAGACTTACTTCTGAGTAGACATGCATACAATTGCACTGTAGGAGCCCTTAAATCACTGGACATGACCTCTTACTATGATATGATTTGTATTCATGAGAGTGCTACTACAAGTCACCTCTGTAGTGGCAGTTAATAATTTAGAGGCATTTGCTGATATTGGACACCAGTCAATCATTTATTAGAACATGGAAATTTATGGATGTTCAAAGGTGACTTGAGACTGCTGTTAGAAATGTTGAGTCACTCTATGAGTTAAGGTTGTGTTTTCATGCCAGTCCTCATAACGTGATGTTACATTTATGGACCCAAAATCATGACAATTTCAGTGATGGAAGTTGCTTTTGGTATGAGCATATGTCACTGTCTAATTGCCAGTCAGATTAAGTATGCCAAACTGTCTCTGACTCTCTGACTCTGGTTTACTACTTCCCACAAGGACTTTTGTTTTGTGAGTATGTCTCCTTAT